ATGCCAGGCGAGCACACTACCGCTTGAGCCACATCCCCAGCCCAGATTTTGTTTTATAATTAGATATGATGCAATTATTTAGACACAATCCCCCACCCTCCTCCTATTTGTACTGGGGATTGAGTCCAAGGGCACTTTACCATTAAGAAGCTTCATCCCTAGTCCTTTTTATTTTATTTTAAAAAACTTGAGAAAGGGTCTGGTTAAATTGCTGAGGGTCTTGCTAATTTATCCAGGCTGGCCTCAAACTTACAACCCTCTTTCCTGAATCCCCCAAGTTGCTGGGATTATAGGCAAGTGTCACTGCACCCAGCTAGATGCACTTCTATTTTGGCTTCATAATGCTCCCCTCCATGACTTATTCATTCTTGAACATTTTTCATTTTATCTCTTTGTTGGTTGGAATAGATTGTAAAGCAATTTTTCAAGAAGGTTCTATCTTTTATTATCCCTTAAATAGCACTGCATTTTTCTGGCATCTTTACACTCAAAAGACAACTCAGATGTATATTACATTTTGGGGTCATAAATTTTTCTAAAACTCTATATATGAGAAGTCAGAGAGATTGATTTTTGTTTTTACCTGGGTAACATGATTTTGGATTTTTGCCTGAATAATCATAAAAACTTTAATATTATAGCTTAAAACTTTTAACTTTGCTTACAACGTGGTGGACTCCTTTCAATCAATAAGCACTGTTCTTGGAGCTGGGGGTGTAGCTCAGTGTTAGAGTGCTTGTCCAGCATGTGTCAAGCCCTGGGTGCCATCCCCAGCACTTCAATAGAGGGGATATTTTTTTCCTGTTTTTATTACTTCTCTTCCATTTGCCTTTATTCCTCTTTTAGTAACACAAATTAACCGTCTGTTGGTTCTGCACTCTTCTTTTTCCATAGCAATCATCCTTTCTCTTATTGTTTTTATATCTTTCATAGTCCATTTAATTTCTTAGCATCACCTTTTTTCTTAACATCAATTCAAATTTTTGCCATATAAATTTTGATCTTTACTGTCTCCCACATGTACTTTAATTTTGTTCCTGCTTTTTTAGAATACTTGCTGAGTTTTCTTACCCTGTCCATTTCTCCTTTCATCTCATCCTGTTGGATTTTCATTTCAGTCCTACCTTTTCCCTCCTTCTGTTTCTTTTTTACAGAATCCTTTAGGTTGCCAAGAGGTTTCTAAAATTTTCTCCTAGTGTTGAGAGCCACAGCCAAAG